TCCGTTCTCCTGCTGGCGACGGTGACGATGCTCCACGAGCATGTCGTATTTAATTTAATATTTTCATGTAAACTTCTGAGCGGATTTCCGACAGTACGGTTTCCAGCTCAAAAGGTTTTAAAGATGCAAAGTATTCATTTCGTGGATCACTTGGTCTCTGATCAAAAACTTTGCGTCACCATCTTCTAACTTTGCATAATGGACACATTTGGTTTTGACTGTGTTGATTTATTTGAGAAATAACAAAAACCCAAAAAAGGGTTTACAACACTAGTTGCATTGAGTGATAAATGTTTAACGTGATTTTACGGTGACGGCGCTAAGGCAACTCACAATACAGCGCTTTAATCTCCTTGGCCGCACGTAATATTACGGTGATGGCGACCGGCGATTGTCCGCACTAGTGCGGTTCTGCGTTATGAAATTTTTATATTATTGTTATAAATATTAAATAATTTTAAACTTAAATACATTTTAATTAGTACAAATACTTGCATCAAAGTAACACTATGGTTATTTTCTAATGAAAGTATACACTATCATTGCAAATAGTGACAGTAATATCTATAGTGCCTTGTTTGTTCTTAGACAACCTATTAAGTATTTTTCGAATTCGCCCCATCCCTAGTACTCGTAAAATTACGTGATTGGCGATACGGATAATGGAGACGGTGACCACAATTTAATTAAACCTCAAATTTCACAGTATTTATCACTCAAAACATTGAGAAATATCCATAACAATAAAGATTATACCCTACATCTTGAAATTGACACATTTTATATGGAGTTTGTGCTCTATAAGAAGATTTTTAATAAAATAACGTGATTGTACGTATGTGGCGATTCGGACACAGCTTTCGAAAACCGTAATATTACGTTGTCGGCGGTTAAAGGGTTAAATTCTGTAAATAGATAGACATTATCCACCAATTACCTAATTAATAAACATAGACTTACAACCAGCTTTATTGTGTCTGATTAATTCATAAGGACAATACATCAAAATATCCATTATGTACACAGCCCTGCAGGTCCAGGATACAGACTACACACCTTCAGTTAAAACTGTACAGTTCAATTGTTTGCTGTTCACACCTAACGATTTGTCGGTATAGTTCAAAGATTTATATAGTTAAAACTGCAGTAATGTGTGTAACATGCATTTAACTATTTCTTGATTACACTATGAAACGGACAGTTTGACACAACATGATATGGCATATAAAAATAACAAAAATAAATAATAACTCTTCATGACAGTCTGTTTAAAAGGAACAGTGTTGAATTACAGACCATTTTCCGAGGAAACCTCTGTGGAAATTAATGGCACTACTAAATGCAAATAACCTATCAAACAATTTGAGTCATAATATTAATCAGACACTTGTGAGAAACAATATTCGTCATAAAATAATTCATGTACAATTTTCTTAATTTAAAGTTAACATTAAACTGCCTGGTCTCTGAAGGCAAGAGCAGTGATGGCTTTCTGATGTCCACAATATTCTCTCTCTAGGGTGCCCTTTTCTACGTCCCAGAGTCGGGCGTAACTGTCTGAGGAACCTGGAAGATAGAAAAAAAATATATATTCACGTCCTCCCAATACAAGGGAGGCTAATGTGCCAGCCAGTATTGTTGACTGAGGGAGGACGCAAAGACAAGTAGCCCGCATGTATAGATCACACTTTACTAAGTAGCCAAGTAGGTACTGGCTACTCCCACACGGGTTCACTGGCTGCTCGTGTGGTTGCTGGGCTCCTAGTGATTGCAGCGTGATGTTTAATACTTTTCATAGCCTTTAAATGGACTATCCAACACAAAAAGAATTTTAAATTCGAACGGTCGAACCAATAGTTCCGGAAATTAGCGCGTTGAAACAAACAAACCCTTTCTTCAAACAAACAAGGAAACTTCACTAACAAGTCTAGTTTTGAAATTAGAATTATTTCGTGAAGTTCTAAAAACTAATAAACTCACCCGTGAAAAGGTATCGCGAGTCGATACTGAAGGCTGCATCCCACACCCACCGTTGCGTGTCATTGCGCAGTTCCCGCAACAGTGTCCAGTCGCTGGTCCGCCACACTTTAGCTGAACAATCGCCAGACGTCGTTACAAGCATTCTGTTGAAGAAAACAAAATATTTAAAAAATAAAAAATATTATCACCACTATTTTTCCGTTACACAACTAATATTTTTCTTTCAAAAATTGGCAACACTTACAAACAGTTGTCAAACTTTCAAATTTGATTTTTCATGTCGAAACTAGTTTTAAAACTTTGTTTATTAGGTTTGTTTTTAAAACTTTCGTAGCTTATTTTAATGATAAGTGAGTAATTTAATGAGCCGAAAAACTGGAAAACGTACCTATCCAAAGTTCGTAACATAATATTTATCGTTATTTCTCGGATGTTTATTCGTTCGTTCGTATTCGTACAAGACCGCCATTAAAATCTAAATGAATTTTTCATAAACTGTAAGTACCTACATATTAATTTCGTCGATTTTGCTTTAATACAAATATCGGTCAATGAGTATCCTTAAAGATATTTACAAGGATTAATTAAAATACGAATTAAGATGTTGATCGATGATGTATATTTCTACTCGGCAAGTTGCCTTCAGCTATATTTTTATAGTGTGGGTAGTGATTTTACTAAGATGCTGCATTTTGATTTAGGTTTTCAATAAAGCAGGTGTCTATTCGCATTTAATCCCAGATATTCTTGTTTATATGTATTTGATGATGAAATTTGTTGTATCCCCATTTGAAAAATAATTTAATATGTTGACCAAATTCACAATATAAATCTTTTAAATGTACTCACGTAGAATCAAGGCTGAACTTGCATCTGAGAGCATATTTAGAATGTGCAACAATGTGTTTGAGTGGTACGGGATGTGGGGCTGCGCCTCCCAATGACCACACATAGCAGTTGCCCTTGTTGTTCACTGCAGCCATCATCTTGCCTTCTGGGTCAATTGCTATATCCTGGATTGACGCTTCAGCATCTGGTATCTGCAAAAATATTATAGTGTCAGCTTTTGTCTGTGACTTTAGTATACGCATATAAGTCCCATTCTCTTACAATATTTTAGAAATTTTATTCACTATCTTCTAAATTCCTCAAAGAACTAAAAGGGCTCTGTGATTAAAAGTTTCAGCTGTCCTTTGTTTAATAAAGTTACTAGTAAGACTATTTACTTTAAAATTGAAATGGAAAAGAGAAACTTTACATAGTTTTTGCTTTTTTAAACACTTTTTTTACTTCTTACCAACTGTTCATTCTGATCAGTCCGAAGGTCCCAAATGTGTATTATGCCACTTTGGTCGCCCACCATAATCTGTGTCTGATCGGGATGCAATGTAACAGTATTAACGGGAGCTTGCACTTGGAATATCTTTGTGCAACGGAACTGTGGTGCAGCCCTGAAAAATAGTTGGGTTCAAATTCCTATTTATTATTTTGATCCATCAGTTTTTTTTATAAAGTTACAGTTGTCTTTTGAACTCCAACATTAACAAAAATGTTGTCCTCTGCTGTTGCTAATCACCATTTCAATTTTTATATTTGTAACATCAATGGGTATATTTTAAACTTTTCAAAATTATTGTTTTAAAACATTTAGTTGGTTGAATGGTTATATATATATCAAAGGGTGCCTTGTTACCTTGGGTCCCATATCCTAGCTGTCCAATCTTCACCACCGGTGTACATCCAAAGGTCATTTTTCTAAAAATATAATTATTTTTATTTTTAAAATTGCTTGAGGACTCTTATTTTTTGGATGTTCTGGTTTTCAGTTTTGTTTTACAAAAGTGTTTTAGTTGTTATTTTCAACCTCTTTAGAGAAGGGTGCTGGAACTTTGACATTAGAAATAGTTTTCTTAATAAAATATATTTCAATTAAGGGCAGATTATTTAATCTTAATAGTAGAATAAAATTTACACACACACACACACTGACAGTTTTAAGTATGGAAGAATTGTTATTTTGTTAAGTATTCAAAGTTATACCTCAGATAAAATTAAACTTCTGTTGGAAAAATCAGCTGTAAGCTAGAAGACATGAAATGAAATTCTTCAATAAGATTAGATTGTTTCCTTTAACTCGTCGAGTACCGGTTTTGTAGACACAATTATAGAACAATAGGTTGCGGTCACCGGTGACCGCTTGGTGTTTGACTGTTTAAATCAAATTTTATAATGTAGTTGAACTTACTTGAAATCCAACTCTGGCAACATTCTTCGTAATTCCCTCAAAATTGACAACAGGGTCTGGGTTGGCACTGGCTAAGTCATACATGCGAATGTGCTGGTAGCCGCACGCTGCTACCATCTGTCCAGTTGGAGATATCTCTAGCCCATTCACTTGCTGCAAGCAAATTAGCATTTTCAGTTGTTGTAGTGTTTAACATTTAAGGATACCTATATTTTTATGATGTATTAGGCTGAATATGACAATTATAGTTCGTAACTAATAATAAAGACTTACGGAATCAGGGTGCTGCATGGTCCGTAAACAGACGCCACTGTGTGCTTGCCATAACTTGATTGTATGATCATAGCCTCCGGTCACTAGGGCCACCGCCGACCCACCACCGCCACTACCGTCCCCCGACATACCTGCACTTACTACTACATTGTATTACAAAAACATTCATGATACCATTTTATTAGCAACGTATAACCTCAAAATACCTTTTGGTTAGATCACAATAAGGATAAAATTTTTGTCATGTATGTTTTAGTTTAAGAGTTTTAAATTATATTCTTGTCTTAGTAAAACCAGTTAATCACTTTATTGTTTTGCAATATTTTACTCATTAGGAACTTGTTTATTTATTTATTATTTTATTTTTGAGGTCGTTTGAAACTTACATTTATTGACATTGACAGTTGACAATTGTGACGTGACATTGACTTTTGAATGACTTGTCAAAGTATTTTCCTACCACAATGATGATGTCGAGAATTTCACGCCTTAGATGTTGGATAGATGCTGGGTGGCCGAGATTCATAGATATTTATCGAGATTGTTGAATGGCACAGGAATTAAACTAAACAGAATGATAGAATTTACTTGTTCAAACTTGTTTACTTGTAATTAAAAGTCTAAAGAATTAGTCAATTTTTTATACGTAAGCCCTATTTAAGTGTGACGGTTAGTTAATTATCACCAGGCCAGAGAGTGGTCAAACATTAACCAGGAAATTTAAAAAAGTCACCTATCATAATTATCATTGATACAAGTTAATAACTTGATACAAGTTAAATACTGGATTAATACGATCTTAGCAATCAATCAAAGTATCCGTTAGGCTGGTCGCCTAGGGGCGGGCACTGTCTGTAAAATTGCATAGTTAAAATTATTGTTCACCAAACTTTAACATTCAGTGATTATTTTGAGTTAAGCAGAGAAGTTATGCCTTCACTTTACAGTTCACTCCTTTAGACTAGTCACCTTTAGATTAAAATCATATTCAACATTTTAATTATCATGATAAACAAAACTCATTGAGAGTTCAGTTTCAAACGGTGTAGCAACTAGTATAGCAAATAGTCACTAGAACGTTGCAAAAACTCATACCTACTTTTTTACCATAACTTAAACTTGGTGGTTAGGTGGTGAAACGAAATATTTCAGATTTACCTGTACCTATTTAAACTTTGATTAAGTACGTACCAAACTACAATGTGTACCAGGACCTCTACTGCATGATACACAAGTTCATTACAGTGTATGTGTATATTCAGCCTTATATCAATATCGTATCGACCCCTCCCCACTGACGCACAGACGCCGGACGCTATAGAAGTATGACGTTGCTTGACATCAATTAAATAGGGCATGGCTATGATTGGCTCGTTACTTTTATTTTCGCATCAGTCTGGTACATTATCGCTAATCAGCTAAATATTGATTATTTATTAGTTAACTAGGCAGTTAGTGGTTGTCGGATAGGTAACTTAGGTTTTAATTTAGTGTCCTATTATGCAATCAACTAGGTACATTATTCTAGGATACTAAAAATGAACGAAGCATCTTTTTTATCGATCCGACATCGAGTGTACCTATTATAAAATGGTCGCACTTTGATAACGTAAACGTCCATTGTAGGCGCCTTACAATTATTGATGCATAGCGTTGTTTTGCAAACAAAACAATCTTTATATCGACATATTTGTGAATAGAGGTCAAAAATACTTCTATGTCTACTCATTTGTCACGCCTACGTGGCGCACTCATGTACGTCCACCCTTTGCCACGCGGTACCGCCTACATACTTTCGTCACGTGCATCACTGTTGTCGGTCATTTTGACAGGGACACTGCGACATTGGTTGCGAATCAAGGCTAATCAATTTAATTTTAGGTTATAGCAATAGAATAAAAGAAAGTATAGAGAGAAAAGAAGCAACATAACAGTTTATGAAAAAGAATGAAAAGACAAATTGAAAAATAGAATATTTTATATGAAATTACTTTATTGAACATGTAAAATCCGTATTGACATGAGGAATGCTAATTCTCATTTACAAAATAACACAAATGTAAAATTTTAGAGACAAATCACATCGAAAACCTACCTATTACTAACTAAAAATACAACATACACATCAATTTCCTAAGTGGGATCTTAGCTTAGAGTTTGGTACCATTATCAGCATTGAAATTTACAATGAGAAGAGGTAGGTTTATAATTAACAATAAGCCGCCACATACGTTTATGAAATAGTCTCTAATTTTACATATTGGTATAGTCTGACCAAAACTTCTATGTCCAAAATTAATGCACACAACTTATCAATACACAGTAAATTAAAAATATGGTATATTTAAATCAAAGCACAGCTTTAACATAAATATGTTATACAGCAAATCAGGTAATATTGCAGACATACTAGTTTTGATGAAACCAGTTGAGGTACACATCTTAAAGTGAGCATCCAGTAGTCACAGCGAACTTAACGAGGGAGGGCTAACTGTACAATTCCCCGGTGTATACATGCTAACACTTAAACATTATTTTTTTTTTTGAGGCTTAGAAACCTAGACCCTAGCCAGCGGCAGAACTTTCCAAACTCTGCAATATGCTTTACATACATCTATCATTATTATTAATACTACAAAACATAAGTAGTAGATAAACAACACACTGAAACATCAACAATTTCATGTGTAGACCAAAATTACTGTTATAATGCATCAGAAACATGAGCCAAAAATTAATAAATTTAACTCAGTAAAAATTATAAAAAAAAAAATGTGAAATGTCATACAGACTTTGGAAAGTCAGTCCCATTTTACTTTGTAATAAATTAAGTCCAAGTAAATTATTCAATATGAACAGTAATGTCGTATTAAGCTGGGAGATCATTCGCTTTCCTCTTCCTCTTCCTCACCATCCTCATCTTCTGACTCCTCCTTCTTTTTCTTGGATTTCTAAAATAAAATCAAGAAGTTAGTAGGTATGTGCTAGCCACGAAGTGCCGCGTAAACCTAGACAATCATGTATTACGCCAATGATATACTTACAGCAGGTGCCGCCTTCTTGCCTGCCTTCTTTCCTCGCTTCTGTGCCTTCTTGCCGCCACCCTCGCCGCCTCCTCCGTTGGCGTTGTATGACTCAAGGTCTTTCGCGTACTGCTCCTTGGCTTTGGCGGCCTTTTCCTCCCATTCCTTAACAAAAATATGGATGTTAGATGCAACTTACAACAAACAAAGGCAACGAGTGTTATATTACCAAATTCTACTTACAGATTTGTCCTTCATCGATTTCCAGATCTCGCCACCCTTTTTGGCGATTTCGGTGACTTTCATGCCGGGATTCTCAGACTTAATCTGTTCCCTGGCACTGTTCAGCCACAGCATGTAAGCTGACATGGGACGCTTAGGCTTGTCCGTCATTTTAACTTTTTTCCTGCAAACAAACAAAGGAAATTATGATTAATTATTAAGAAAATAAATGGCAACAGGTTACGCAGGCCATGCATTGAAGATTCCGATCAGTAACTAGCCTTCACGCTGCTTATATGGCACAGTAGGGCGGCGTTTTGGCGGGAAACACGCTTACGCGTCTTTTAGATGAAAATATAGTAATTCCAGTATTAATTCAATAAAAATCTAGCTTAATACAACAAGAATCACTATAAAAACATATAAAATGATGTAGTTATTAACAAAAATAGTTATCTCCCCATACAACGAGTTCACTGTCCTAGGCTTGGGTCGAAAGAACCATTTTGTTTTCACGGATTGTGTTGAAAATACGCAATAACTAAAGGTGACCTAATTACCAAATAATCCGACGACTATTTAGCTATAACTTATGGAAGAACTGTTCCTGTCCCTTGATAGTAAAGATCCGAGAAATTAATTATTGAAATAAGGCGTCCTTCCCATACCCACGCGTACTAAGGAAAGTACGAAGATGCCTATAGCCATGTTTGAATGCGAATTCCAACGTGGAATGAAAATTATTTCAATGAATCCGCCCGTAAGAAACATTAATACACTTATTAAAACACTTTACTTTGATTGGAAAAATAACTGTACTTACCTGAGGGCAAAAATTTTGAAATTATTTTTGAACTGGTGCACAACCAAACTATAGACGTAGAGAACCAGAAGAAAATGTATGGAGCTCGAAGCAAATGTTCCCAGAGCAAGCTAGCTTGGGGTCGACTCGCGTCGGCTCAAAAGCGACATCTATCTCGACTGTGATTGGTCCGCCTATACGATTGTACCAACCGCACGGAAACGGCTTAGCATCGTGTACTACGTATATCCGTGACGTATCGATTGCTGCGTTCATTTAAATTTAAACCTTAAGCGTACGTAATAAAGATTACTTTCTATGAGACATATTGAGCTAGAACATTTGCTTTAGAAATTTATTTCATCGTATTTCGACGAAAATATGCATAGAAATGATTAGATTTTGACATCATAACATCAGAAAACTTATACTAAGTATTTATAATAATTATATTTAACATACTTACAAAATAAGTATATCAAAAAATGACCCAGTCCACTCAACACAAGACTCCTATCGAAATGAACTCGCGCCCTATTTTAAATGCCGCCAACGTTGATTTCGAAAACGTAAAAAGCGCGGTAAACGTTAGCGGGAAAGGGACGCCAATAAAACATAGCGCTTGAATGGCAGCACGTTTGTTTACGATTTGGTATTTCGTGGGAACTTGAGAAATAGTTTTTATTTTCAAAGATATAAGGGTGTGACGTCCTTAGTTCTTAAGTTCATATACCTAAAATACATTGTTGAATACAACTAGATGAATTTAGAAACTACACATTGTATAAAGACCAACTGTCAATAAACGTATCCTAATTCCTAGCGTAATTTTTATAAATATGCATTAAGATTACTTAAATACCTTTTCTAGTCGTGCTTTTAGGTGGAATGGGTAAAATAATAAATGAGGAAGAATCGATATATTTAAACTCCACTTTAGATATCTTTTTCATGTAAAAATCATCCTTTTACTTTCTGATAATCGTGTTATGTTTTGTAGGTTTAAATACTTATTAAGTACTTATTCATCATCTTGTCACTTACATAAACAACATTACTTAGGCACTATGTTAATACTGTATAATTACTAAACTAAGAAGTTACATACAATACATACAGTCTACTTTTAACTAAGATGACGCTACTGGAATTTTAACGAAATAAGTAATTTCATTTAGGAAGGTAGAAGGAAGGAAATTACTTAGGATGGTATTCGTTTGTTTTTGTTTACATTAGTAACTAATAACATCAATTTGTTGATTGTTTGACCTAGGTAGGTAGTTAGGGTTATTTACCTACTTTTATAATTCCTAGTAAGGGTAGACCGTGTTACTATGTAAACATTTAATGACTGTATTGCACACTCTTAAACGTCCCTGTAGATAGGCACTTCGCTATTTAGATATCTACATAATTACTAGGTACCTAAACGAAGAAGAAAGTTTGAAAAACGAAACAATAAAATTTCTGCCTAATATTAATTAGTTAAGTGTTTACGGATTACCCTCCTAATACCATTATATTATAACTAATAGGTTTTTTTTAACGGGAGAAAATCATTGAATGACTGCTCCCGCCTGGGTGAGGCGGGAGGGAGTGTCAGACTCTTACTGACTAAAAACCACCCCGTTCCTTCTCCTGCACGTCAAGCCGGAACCCCGGTACCTAACCCGTTAGGTTCTTCGCGACACTATATATTAGGGTAGGTATTTGTTTGATTTGACAACCGGTAGGTACCTACCATTAGGCCACATGCACTTTAGTTTTTACTGATAAAGGACCCCACAACTGAATAGTCCTAAAACAAAAAGCTCCACGCTAAGTTAATTAGTAGCATTGTGCGTGGTGCCCATACACTTTCTTATATCTATTATGGTGCCATTGTTTTTTCACTAGTTCTAGACTACGTATTTCTAGGTCCTTTGAAATACCGACTTATTACCTACATACTGGCCGTAGGCTGCCTAGGCAACTATTTACCTACATTCCCAAATACCATTCAAGTAATTAGTTGTAATTGTAACTAAGTAGTAAGTGAACGAGTGTCTAGCAGAAGCCTTTAAAGGGATCTCAATCAGCAATTGTACTTTGTCGTATCTCTTACTTCTGGCTATTGCTATCAACATACATTTAATGTGACTTGCCTGCTCGACTTTTCTTCAAAGTACTTACCCAGGAATCCATAAACATAACTGTCTGTCCCCATGCATGGACATGATATTCCTTCAATAATTTAATACCTACTATTATTATTTTATCTCTCATATTCAACAGAGAATTGCTGGACTATCGAGGGCTGTCAATGATGACTAAATGGCATCCTCAGAGTCTAAGACGTCTAATCTTGAACTGTCTTGAAGCAATTGACTATAGTAATATACTCAGATAATGGTACTAGGTACAGGTAGCTATAGTTAGACCGCCTGTAGATTTTGTTCTTAAATTCACCTGTTTTATTGTCTTTTCAGGTTTCAGTAGACGTTCTTTGTAAGTTACCCTTCTTACTAGAACAAGTTTGGTCACTGAGAAACCGGCTTGCATATAGTAAGGTAAATATTGCAAGAGATAATGATTGATGGGTTTGAAAGAAAGTAAATGATTCAAAGTGATAAGATAGATAAGGATGATGATTTCAGGTTTTTTTGTTCAACGAGCACACGGATCGCCTGATGGTAAGCAATCGACGTCGCCAATGGATCCCCGGAACACCAGAGGCGTTACAAGACTTACTAGTGCGTTACCAATCTTTTGGGGATTTGTAACTTCCGGTAACCTTCATTAACACGACGAAACACAAAACAAGCTTTATGTCACGTCGGTTTTCTAAGAGGCCGTGGTATCACTCCAGTTGAGCCGGCCCATTAACGAAACTTTCCCACAAACAACAAGGATAGGTTACTTAAATGCTGGGTCTTCCGGTAGCAGGTAGTTGGCGCTTCTTTGACAAAGCTGGAGCGGCGTGTACCTAAATCATTTTCGACAGAAACACAGCTTTTGAATACTTTGTAGGCATTTACCGACACACAATTTCGCCGGTATTACTTAATAGCTACCTAATTAATAATAATACTTACTGACTGACATTATATACTTTCTTTCTAGCTAACAAATCATTAAATCGAGAAATGACTACTGCTGCCGCGTCGGTCGCTGACCGATTGGTTTAATATAGGTCAACTATTAGGAAGATTATTGGCATTGGTATCCACTTATCTAAGAATGCTGAAACCTATTACAAATGCATTGTTTAATTACGTTTAAATATCACCAGTTAAGTACACCTTTATAAAGATCTCTCCAAAAAAGGATGCAAGTGACAGTTCAATTCACCACCTTGTACTGTACAAGTTGATTGACCGCATAGTTGTCGGAGAGCCAGTCCTTACGGACGCCGACGACGCTTCTGCTGTCCATCGCCTCTTCGGCGCGGCACAGTAGGTATTTACATAGCGGACACTTTGTAAGTGCGAACTAACTTTCTACATACATAGGCTCATATAAGTAGGTAGGTATAAAAACAATTCTTTCGCACGTTGATTACTACTGCGGTTCCTAATCTGATAAATTACTCTAAAAGATAAAGTATCTACCTATTTACTTGTAAATACAGAAATATCTACCTAATAATACCTAAACATAAATAATACCTAACTATAAAGAACAGTAAAGCAACCATGCTTGACTCTTTCGAAATCGTTTCGAATTCGCAAAATAAGTATAATGGAAGAGCGGAAATAAAGTGTGGCCTCTCTTTTACTCGCCGTTTAATATTCGATACGGATCAGGTTTTACTGGTTTTGTGACGACACGCGACGCTCATGTTGTTTACGCGCCGTGCCGTGCGCTGTCCATTATAATATCAATGCATTTTTTCCTTTAGCGAATACCTAAGTATTATACTTAGTCATTTGTTATAAAGTTTTACATTCGGGAGGGGTTGGAGATATAAAACTATAATATACCGTGCGACGAAGAACTCAATACTTAACCATCCCTATTAATAGACATAGTCACGACATGAGAACGTTTTTTTAGGTCCTTGCCTTGCGTTCTCACATAGAGACGACCGTTACAAGGTCCTTTCATTTTCTTGTTCGTGTTTCTTACAATTCATATTGATTTGATGAATATAATCAAATGCATGATAGTCATTTTTACATCAGAATATCGTTAATTATCGTTATAGTAGATACTGATTGATTAATTTATTTAGCAGAAATCAGATTCGTGCTTACTTAACAAAGCTAGTAACTAAGGTCGGGTATTTTTGCCAATGTTTAAGAGCAAACAAAAGCGATGCCTGGTCATAGGACCATAGGTACGAGATTAAAATTCCTGTTATGGGCCCATTGAACCAATTGATTTCCTTTTTATTGCTTGATGTAGGTTATACGAATGTTATCCATGAATATTTGAATAGGATGTTGTGTGATATAGCGCTGTGGTGCAAGAATGCATAAAAAGCGCAGACACGTGTTGATATCAAGTTATCATTGTGCTGACCGATTAAACGAGCGCCAACTGAAGTAAGGTTGACCTGTTATATTGCATGATAAGTTTCTTATTTCAACGTGATAAGCTGTTTGAAATACTAGTTACAACACCAATGAAAGAATTTCGATTTTAAAAGTATTTAGGCACGTTTTTGGCAAAATTAATAGAATGCCTATATTTATAGCTATAACATTTTGCATAATATAACTGTTGTTTACCTACTCATTTACAGACACACTTTATTTATGTGTATTTGCGTAGTATTTTCCTTAACCGGTTTATGTAGTACGTAGAAATAGATATACTTAGTTACTTACGGTAAAATTAATATCGAACCAAAATGTAGGTTTGCTACCTATTTTTAGGTGCAAATCATACTAGATCCTAATAGATAATAATATATTTTGCGCGCCAAATCGACTACTTTTTTTTCGTAACAAAAATATTATAAATCTGAATAACGACTTCTATTTGCCGAAGGGACATCCTCGTCAGTTTTTACTTTCTTTTTTGCCAAACCTACCGCAAAGCCCGCTTATTGCTCTTCTTGGGAATCAACCGGACAACACAATAGCTCTAGGACCCTTCCCTGTAAAAAAGGGGCGACATTGGGACGGTTTCTCGTTGCGGCACAAACCCCATACTTTTGGTTCAGTATGAGAGCGTTTTATTACTTTTTATACGGCGCGCCTAGGGGAAGCGACGCCACTGTGAACCGATGCACCTTTGTAGTTAAAGTAACGGTTATACTTTTGTATTGCTCCCAGAGCAATTATTATTGTTTTACTATCTTTTGTAACACATTTTTACTTACGATTATTTTTCTTTAAATGCCATGGCTCTTACCTGATATTATCTATTTTTTTTATATTCAAACGCTTTAATAATGATAGGTACTTATCTCGGAATAATACCTATGGTTAACCATCGTGACAGCGTTTAAAGTAAAATAAGAAAAAGAAAACAACAAATAAAAATATAGTCTTATAATAACAATTAACACACTAACATTACATCTAAAGTGGGGCTAAACGTTCACATACCAGATAATACGAATTTTAAGACAATCACAACTGATCTTACTTAATATATTTACAAGGGAGTCAGTTTCAAGTTCTGGCTTTGCCCTATCGCTATCACTGTCACACAAATTGTGTTTGGCAAGTGTAAAAGAGAGATAGAACATAGCCTAACATTTGCTCAGTAATGTTTATTTATAACTAAGTTTTAAAACAATTAAGACGTAACTATTTTGAATCATCAACACACATAAACTGAATAATAGAACAATATCACATATACATAAAATACTAAGTTTTAATGAAAATACAAGTTATAATGAAATGGCGGGAATTTCTTCGGAATCTGTGCTGTGCATACAGCTTAGTTGTGACAGTTTCATTATTAGATTTAGCTACATTAATAAGAAACATACATAACATGATTATTAATTGTGCAAGAATAACGTTCACAACATTTTAGTTATTTTGAATCATTGTATAACACATACAATGATTCGAAATAACTAAAATGTTCTCTAATCAGTTCTAAATTATCTCCGATTTCTGAAGACAATAAATTTCAGGAGTGTTGATGCTTTTGATATCAAACAATGTTCAGGATGAGATTTGCTATAAAAACCAAGGTTTTATGTTAAAAGTTTAGTTTTTTTGTTAAAGTACACTATGGTTTCAGTCACTGCCGCTTCCGCTTTCGTCTCCAGACCCACCCGAAGAGGCTTCTGCTTCCGATGACGAACTCTTTGCCTTCTCCTTCTTTGATTCCTTGGTCTAGAAAAATTTTAGATGTTAGCTGGTTTGTAACGATCATAATTAATGCTACTATAGTACAAAAATAAAATAATAATATTAAGACAATGATGGGTGGGTTGTCTATCTATCGAGACCGAAAAGCTGAATAGATTGTATTTTGGAATAACTTGGAAGATTATTTTTCTTTCTGATATTATTTTGCTATTCTTAATATGGAATTTAAAATAGTACGTGAGCGAAGGTAGTGTACAATAGTATCCTATGTATAGGTTATGGCGTCGTGGGGTTTTAATCCCACATGTATATATATAATATATATCTTGTCTAACATTTTGCATACCTTCAAATGATAGGTGTGATTTCCATTGTATCGTTGTCTACGATAAAATGAAAAAAAAAACAAAGAAGATTTAACGATCTTTTCTATAATTCAACCACCTGGCACCTAAATCTGTTGATATAAATCAATATTACTGCTTAAACGTTTCGGTATAATTAATTATAATAAAGAAGCCTTCAAAATAATCTTATAAATTATTATAATATTAGTTTCATAATGAAAACTCCCCTTAAGGCATTAATAAATAATAGTATAACAGAGTTCAACATTGCAAGTAAATGTGAATAGAAATATTAGGATATTCTCTATCACCTCACATTCGTTATAACAAGTTAAAACGAAGTTAAGAAAAGCTGCAATCGAACATAGCTACATACAAACGTTTGTTATCCGCCTACAAATGACTAATGAGTACATTATCTTCAGAATAAATGACTATAGACATTAAATTTTAATGTACTAGGTGAATAAAGCTCAGACTGAGTTTAACGTAAAGACGTAACACTGAACTTATGTATGCAGTTGATAAAATCTACACATACTCGTACTATTAGAATCACTTGCGCGTGACCACGGCACCACGTGCTGTGTGAATGGCTACACGTTTTAATACACAACGTGCTACTTGTATTTTGTTACTAGCTGTTATATTTTCATGATTTTTGTATTATTTCTGGTTTTAACAAAAGAAAATTCATTGTTTTCGCGTGGAGCCGTTTAGACACACAAAAGGTTAAATATACCAAGAAGATAATTCTGGTGTTCCTATCTTATTCGTAACTGACTTCCTGCCGGCGGTTTTGTCAAATTCATAACAAATTATATACCAAAAATATCATCAAGACACACTATTTCTATAAACATAAACCGTATCAGAATCCGTTGAGTAGTTTTTGATCTATGCATACATAGCGACAGACACAACAAAAGTTACTTGCAAGTAACTGTAACTGTGCGGTAGCAAGTAACTTTGTTCTATATTATAAAGACATGAAGAATCTGTTTTCGCTTGATCACACAACAAATTAAGGCTTACTGTTTACTGCACTTAATCTAATATTTGTTATGTAAAGCTAAAGAGTTAGTTTGTTTGAACGCGGTATTCTCAGTAACTACTGTTCCGATTTCAAAAATTCTTGTTGGATAGTCATTTATAGAGGAAGGGTATAGGCTATCAAACATCACGCTACGATCAATAAGCGCCGACCAGTGCGACTGACACCGCGCCGAACTATCTAGTATATGATAAATGCCTCTCTTAAAACTATAGTCAGGGAGAGTTTGAATTAAAGTAAATTAATTTTACAGTAAAGCTGAGGAATGCATTAATGCGAAATCAGGGTACGGCGCTAGTCTTATCTTCAACTTGAAAAGGTACTAAAAAAAAGTCATCATTGTCACTGAGAATATGTCTATTAACTCGTCGAGTACCGTCATTAAAGACACAATTATAGAATAATAGGTTGCGGTCACCAGTGACCGCTTGATGTTTGACAGTTTAAACCACATAGATGCAAACAAGGCCGTTAAAAAAAGGCGGACATAATTGTTATTTTTTTTTATATTAGTCATGGTCGTCGTCGGACATATTGTCACTTAGAAATGATCGAAGCACTAAAATGTCAGTGGATCATTAAAGTGTGCGTGTGTAATGGGTTACCACGTCACCAGACTTAAGAAAATGACAGAGGCCTTAGTACGAGTTTATTTTACGTTTAAAGTAATCGTAATGAGTACGCGTTCGGCGCTCTGATTGGTTGGTTCACTGGTGCCGGCCAATCAGATGCCGAACGCGTACTCGTTTCGAATACTTTAAACATAAATCAAACTCGTACTAGGGCCTCAGATGTCTTATGTGTCGACGTGTGTATATTCTGCGTGTAAGTCTATAGTAACCAGATGCAAGAGACTGTGTCGGCTTTTTTTCAACGTCTTTGGTTACAAATATCAACTTTATAGTGCAATAATTAGGTGTTAATTTAACTACACTTTATTATTAATAAGAGGAAACAATTTGTTGTTTGTTTAAAACAAAATAAGCTTTAACCCGTGGTATGCCGTATGAACATAGATGTACGCGAGACATAATAAACATCATTTCAAAGAAAGTACAATTTTTTAAACCCAGGTACTAAATAGTACATTTTAGGTACAATTTTTGATACCTGGTAGAATTTGCTTCGTTATCAATTATAATCATACACCCGCCATTTTGACTGTCACTTTTCTATTCTGTCGGTTAAACATATTGCATTTAGAAGTGTAATATTTCATGGGAAACAACATAACCGACATATTTTCTTAGCAAATAGGTACTTATAATCCTACAAACAATACCGGGAAACTGTAAATTGCTCATGAGCAGAAGAGTAACTGCTGTACTTACATATCAAGACATATTACAACAGCCTATAAGTGGCCATTGCTTACCAAAGGCCTCTTCTCACACGAAGAAGGTTTGAGCATTAATCAACACGCTTGCTCAATGCGCGTTGGCGATTGCACACTTATAATTTGAAACTATAAGTCCAAGTTTCTTCACGATGTTTTCCTTCACCGTTGGTCAATGGTGTCTAAATAATATTAGAGAGTAAGTACATATAACTCGGTAGGTTTCTAACCCGCGCCCTCATGCATGAGAAGCGGGTATGTTATGCCTCCCAGCCACCACGACAGTAACTGCTGTATTTAGATACATTTAATGGTTACTTAAACTATTTCTTGTTATAATTTTGTTCGCTAATGACTGAGTTAAGTACTTATTAAACGACACTGAGTACAATGGTAATTGTAAATATATACTTACATCTTTAGTATCTTTCTTCTTCTTGTCCTTTTCCTTTTCCTTATCAGAGTCAGAAGAGCTATCATCATCTTCAATGTACTCCTTGCTGGTGAACTTCCCTCCAGAGCCAGCCCCTGCATTACTGGTAGTCTTTGCTTTTTTACTCGCTGGGGCTTTAGATTTCTTCTCTGCGGCTTTACGTTCCTTCTCGGCTTGTTTCTTCTTCTGCTTAAATTCGTCAGCAGCGCCGCTGTCCTTGTATTTCTTCATAGCTATATTGTATTCTTCTTTCGCTTTGCTTGCTTTCTCTTCCCACTCCTGTGTAAGATAATATGATTTTTTTTATAGCTTTGTGCATATAATAAGTAGAAATGGTTGTTTTCTTAAAAAGCCAATTTGCAGTATAGTCTTGTTGTAATACTAAATAAATAATTTGAATTATAGTTAAAGTTCTTATTTTGCATTGGGGTCATTTGGAGTACATATTTATTTTCCATCGTCAAACAAGTCCAGAAGAGAATTTTTTTTTGTTCATGCCATGTTACATATAGTGTCTTAGTTTTTACTGTTTTTCCTGTCGAAGGACTGCAGGAAGACATTCCTACGGGAATATGTAGAACCTATGTACCTCCAATTTATTTATATATGTAATCTCCTGTATGTTGTGCATAAATAAATAAATAATGAAAACGAAAGCAAAAACAATGTACATTATATTTTCAATAAAGTCTCGGCAATGAAACACTATGATATCATTTTACCCTTGAGATAATAAAATCCAATTTGTGGTAAAATTGTACAAGAAACCTGAAAACCATGTTCTCAACTGATAAATATAATAAAATAACTTACGGATTTGTCCTTCAGATCCCTCCAGAGCTCTCCTCCCTTCTTGGCGATCTCTGTGACCTTGATGCCAGGGTTCTGTTCCACGATACTCTTGCGGTTCTCATTGAGCCACAACATGAACGCAGTGGCCGGCCGCTTCGGTGCATTCACGTCCTTCTCGCGTTTCTTTGACTTTTCCTTACGTTTGCGCGGCGCTTCTGACTGTAATTTATAGTAAAATAATGGTTAAATAATCCTCCGCTGTCCTCTATTGAAGGGATGATGAGAATGGCATGATCATGCTTAAAGAAAAACCTCAAATAAAGTATATTAAAAAAAGAAATAATTGAAAATGGTTACTCGCCGGTTAAAGGTGGTTTTAGTAAGGTCAATCAAAGTAATAAAGTATCAAAGGGATGAATGAAAAGCGATGAAGCGAAAGAGGTATGGAAGCGTATCATTTGGGGAGACCAACATTACAATATTATGCAAACGCTCCCCGCGTTCATCGTTTTAAAACTTAGTCCATATACATACTAAATTCCTAATACCCTAGATGTCAGGATGGTGTCGACGCGTCTAACATTTAGGCAGAAAGTACGTGAGCTTCTCTTAAAGAGGTTGATTGAATCATCACGCTAATTATTTACAGTGTATTAGTAATAATTTTAAATCGTTGCTTGCTTCTTGCTCATACCATTAACTCTTCTCTGCATCATCCAAAGGTCAGACTGGGAGAAAATGCCTGCGGCATTAAGTCCACCTTCTGTGCACTTTGTGCATGAAGCATTAATAAATAAAATAAATTCCATGTAAATCTATGTCCAGTAGTTCATTCAAACATAAGTACATACATTCATACATTCTCACGAACTGTCGCATTTATAATATTACTAGCTTCTAACAGCAATATTCCTGTTCCTGGGATAAAAAGCCTATGTGTTATTCCGGACCATAAATTAATTCTGTTTTCAATTTTGTCCCGATCCCTCCAACCGTTTTGCCGTGAGTAACAAACATACACAACAAACTTACGGATATATAATATTAGTAAGACATTAGCAAGATACAGTAACATTGAGACAAGTAAAAATGGCACAATCTACTTACAATAGTGATAGCCTTCTTGGGTTTCTTCTCTTTCTTCTTTTCCTTCTTGCCCTCATCATCCGAGCCACCACCGCCACCTGATGCATCTGAGTCCTCTGACGATGATGGATTGGTGTCGTATCTGAATATTAATAAATGGATTTATTATTTTGGGTCAAAGGAGAAAAATAAAAAAATGGCACTTCATACAGTTTGGTTATATCTTATTTAACCCATGGTATGCCGAGAGCGTAGATATACGCGAGACACAGTGTGTTATCTATTGTGTCTCATATGTTGGTAGATAAGAGGTTAATAGTCATTGGCCAGCCTGATCACATTTTACAGGCGATATCCACCGTATGTACGAGTTAAGCAAAAAGAACTATCTCCAAGTAGGCTGACGCATCGCTGGGCAACGGGCTGCAAATACGAGTCACGCGTCGCGGGACCAATTCTTTGTGTGATCCAGGATGTGTGACGCGGGACAAATTATTGTTCCCTGTGAAATTGTATGTTTACAAACACAACCATGACACGGGAGAGAATCCCAGTATGAGACAACGTTCGTCTAGTCTTTTTTTATTTTTATTTATCAAGGACAACAAACAGCAGTATATTAAATATAACACGGGTGAGTAAAATAATAGATTTAACAAATACACTCCTCACGACGTTGCCACGGATTACCATAAATCTACTTAGCAAACACAATGGGGCAAACTTGAAGCTACAAACTATACAAACATAGGATACATATAAATTACAGAATTACTTTTGACTCTTTGACTGCCAATAGAAAACTGTTGGCAAATCCTCCAATAACGTCTGTCACCGGTGACCCTATATAAAAAGAAATAGCACTATATCACACGCTCATTCGCCACTTGTTCGTGCCCTCACACTGATAAATGATCTTCTGGCATCATCACCAGAGTTTGATATATTTGCGTCAAGCTGAAGGACTGTGTGCAAAGAATGCATGAAGTTGTGCGAGTGTATGAATGCATAACTGTATTTTATTTCATGTTCTGTTGTAAATGTCTTATTTATTTTATATTGTATATTTTGCTTAACTGCTTGACTGTTAATGAAGCGAAAGAGGTATGTAAGAATCGTAGTAATTGGCGTTCCTTAGTCTACCCCCATGGGAGACAGGCGTGAAGTTATGTATGTATGTATGTATTTTGCTTATTAGCATTAAAACCTGTCATAGTTTGTAAGATTTTCTTATTCTTATTGTTTGTTTTATTTAAGGACTTTTCTGTTTTTTATTTTTATAATTATTTGAAATGTATAACGCCTTGGTTTTATGACTGTAATGTTATACTATTTAATTGAAATAAATAAATAAATATAGAAAATTACTTACTCCTCTGCGACATCGCTCTCCTTGGCCTTATCAGGGTTGAAGTCTTCATCAGTGCTTTCATCAGAGTCCGAGTCCCCAGAGTCTCGCTCTTTAGCCTCGGCCTTAACTCGCTCAAGATACGCGTCAGGTTCTTTCTCAGTGTCCGAGTCGCCAAAGTCATCGTCGTATAGAGCTTTATCCTGAAAGTAATAAGGTTTTGTTTTGATTGGAATGTTGGTTTTTGATTATGTAAATAAAGTCTTTTTCTCGTTAACGTCGTCGACGTGGGGTTTCAGTAATAGTTGTGATTAAGGATTTTATGACTATCAAAAAACCAATACAAAAACACGATAATTTTCATTACATACACATTTTTGTTTAGAACTGATATTTTAAATTAGTACTTGGTTTAAAAAAAAACACGCCCTATTTGGACAGTGTTCTTATAAGATTCAATGGGAAGTTTAAGCTGTTCTATATTAAAACGATTAATTTCAAATACATAAATAAATAAATAATAATGTTGATATCGTCAGTACAAAACAACGATGTATAAAGTAATAATTTCCGAATGGTTATCGTAAGTACTTACATTTTTGCCAGTGTTCTTGACATGTAATTTCTTGGAGGTGATGTAGTCGAACAGTTTGTCATACTCTCCCTTCTCGATACTGCTGAATGTGTGTATGCTGCCTTGTTTCAACTCGATTTCGAAATCGAACGATCTAAACACAAAGAGATATTTTTTAAACAATGGACTTTCTTACTCCTTTTACGTACGACTTTAGATTTTCACTATCGGACGAATTTTGATGTTTGAAAAGAACCTTGGTATGGTTTAATTGAAATAAACACTGATTTCGAAGAAATTAACTCTAATTTAGACTCCTTTCTTCATGCATTAGTAAGTAGTTTTTTTTATATAAAAACTACTTACCACCCAGACCCGAAATAACAACAATAAAGAGTTACTCCGTGCGGGAATCGATCCCGCTACACTTTGCGCGGCAGTCGCCATCCACCGCGCCAACCATGCAGTCATTTCAAGCTGGACTTATCCTAGTAAGCCCTTGGATTTTATAACAGTAGAATCGGGAATCTCAAACAGATTGTCGAGTCCAGCAGACACCTAAGCAAATGCAGCCAAGTGATTTTTGACATTTACTTACTTGGTAGAAGAAGCGCCTCCTCTCGCGAAGTTGACAGAAGCAATTTCCTCGAAGCGGATGTGTACAGGAGGTTTGTGTACGTATATGAATCCCTTCTCTAACGGGTATAGGTAGCCGGCCGCCGCTTTGTATGAGCACGCAATCGCCGGCGTCTTGTGGTGACTGGAACCAAAATGTATTTATTCAATAACTTAAGATATTTGTTTTCTCTTGGTTTTGTTTTTTTTTTTATTTTAGTATGTTCTGTTATTTGTATGTTGCGTTAGGTATGTCTTTATAGTATTCTCACATGTGTGTACAATATTGGAATATGTATCAGAGCAATGTAAAACAGACTTTTTTTAAAAGAGTAACGAATGGAGTTTCTTTCTCGTTCTTCTCCACTGGAATCGACATTTTGGAACGAGCGCCTTGCTTCACTGACGGACAGACTGAAAGACTTATATATTTGTTGACGTTTCAAAAGTACCAAATTAAGGTTTAATTGAAATAAATGCTTTTGAGTTTGAGTTTGAAACTAGTTGACTAGGCAAACTATCTCACCACTAACACATCACAAACATTTCAAGACCAAAATTATCCAAATCGGTTCAGCCGTTCTCGAGTTTTAGCGAGACTAACAGAAATTCAATTTTATTTATAAAGATTACATACATAACTTCACGCCAGTCTCCCATGGGGGTAGGAAGAGACTAGGGAACGCCAATTACTACGATTCCTACATACCTCTTTCGCTTCATTAACAGTCATCAATTTATTCATGCATGCTCGTCGGTTAAGGGTACCTTTATGAGTTTTATGTATAATAAAGAAGATTATGTAGATTATTATTAGGTATACATATTTTTTATTTTAGTGCTATGTATGTAGCTTGTATTGACTGCATCAAATTTATATGATCAAAATATTTTTTCGATTTAGTGTAAATATTTTACGATATCTGAGATCATAATATGTTCTGAATATATAGTTGTTTTATAAGACCATAAGCATTTAATACTACAAACAAAATACCTACGACCGCTGAATCATACTGTCAAGTTAATGCCGTAATTTACTATTACGCGTTAAGGTGTCCGATTAGAGTAAACAACCATTTTAAGTTATTTTTAATGTGTAGAATTTCGTAAATTATTATTATTATTATATATTTATTTTATTACCCCAAAAAGTCTCCTGGTCCTGTCACTCGTCTGTTGATGATGACCTTCATGATTTTCGCGAGCACTTCGTAAGTTGGACCGGACAGCTCCTTACTTATCTTCCCTTCATATTTCTCGTTCAATTCTTCCCTGAAACACAAAGAATGACGAATTAGCGAGCAATTCAATAATACGTAGCATGAAGTTTTAAATTGACCTTCGTGTTTAGCTATAAAGATGTCTATACATATAATAAGAAACAGTAGTCAAAGGGTAAACATATCTGTCATTGTAACATCACTGGGAAAAATCAAAACCAGGCATTAAATAACATTAAACTGTCAAACACCAAGCGGTCACCGGTGACCGCAACCTATTGTTCTATAATTGTGTCTACAAAACCGGTACTCGACGAGTTAATTAAAATAATAAACCACTTACTCAGTAAACGGAAGCTCTAAGCTAGTTTCTTCTTCAATACCAAAGAGCAGCACCAAGTAATGGTATCTAGTTTGACCTTGTTTGATGGGCGGGTCGAGGGACACCACAAAGAACATCTGTCTCGTATCTTTGTGCGGCAATAGGAATAAACGCAGCACTGTCGACATCGGGATTTTGTAGTCGAAGGTCTTACCGTGAAGCTGGAAGAATGTCTGGAATACTTTGATGTCGTAACGACCACTGTAACAAAAATAGGTGTTAGAATAGAAGTATTAGTGCAAAGTTTTAAAAAAGAAATATCATGTTCACTTAGAATCCTTTGATAATGGATATTATAGCGTAAAAGATCGATATGAAAGAGATCTGTGTTGTTATTTTGTAAAAAAGCGTCACAGATCATTAAGACGCTGAAAATGAATATTGAAGAAGTTTACTATTTGTTGTACTTGTTCATTTATCTGAAGAAACTCAAAGTAATGTCTGTGTCATGACATAGTCCTAAAGGGCAATCAACCATAATGACAATATGGCCAGGCTGACTCTAATTTGCAGAAGAACTCACCACAATATCAACATATCCTCATTAATAAAAAATATTAATATAAGAACACATACCGAGGCGTAAGACACTGTAGCTCCCTGAAGATGGCGATGGCATCACCAGAGACAGAGATGACACTGGCTTTGTTCATCACCTGCTGGTGGAAGGCCTCCACTGCGTCCATGTCTCCTGCCAACTCACTGGTTGGGATGTGGAAACGCATCTCCATTAAAGATACTGGTGTGTCATCATTCTGTTGATAAAACATTAAGATGGATTAAATAGCCAAATTTATGTGAGCCAATAGATGTGAGTAATTTAATTTTGCAATTTCTGTACCATAGTTCTTACTTTCTTTTATTAGCTCATAGTTTCACTTCACAATAAATATATTGAGCTGGTATTAGAAGTTTGTAAATATTCTCTCCTTGCCATAGAATCCAAATTTAATGGTATTCTCAATGAGAATGTGAATAACAAAAAGCTTTTTGAAGTACATAATTATCGTAAGTTTTTTTTTTAATTGGTACCTCTACATTCTGGGAGTGGGATATAATTTATGCTGTAGTCACACTAACCCTGCCTTTATAAAATAATACAGAATTAGGTAGGTACCTAATATGAGAGCAGTTATTTATGCTAAAGAATTTGTCTATGGCAGGAATTTCTTGTCTTTGTCATAATAACATTGCACAATATTATGTAATTTTTTTTAAATATTTACAGACTCCTTGTACAATTTATAACAATCGGAATTATACCTGAACTCTAATTAGTATGTAGAAAATAAAGATTTTTGATGAATATTATATATATAAAAAAGAAAAATGCTAAATAATAGTGTCTAAAATGGCAAAGTATAGCATAAATCTTCATCTGTTCTTTTAGACTTTTTAAACTATGTCACACCAATCATCTGTAACTCAATGTATGTAATCCATGATAAGTATTTACCTGGTGGAATTCAAGTGTGACTTCATTCTTGCCCGTATTGCATTGAGAAACATTATGTAGCGGGATCTCAAATGCCGTGTTTGATCCTACATTGAAGCTTAGTACTGCTCCATTGAATTTAGCAGTTCCCCAGTTCCAGCCTTTCAGGGAGAGCTCCTTTTCCAACATGTCCTTATTGTAGTTGGTCTTAAAGAACTTTGCAACCTTCTCTTGTTCCTGTAAATGGTGGAGGATAATTAAGATGTCATTAAAATTCTACTAAAAATGATGTTTGAGTAATGTGTTGGTAGTTTCATTAAAATATCAATTTGTATCCTTAGATTAGAGGTTCATTAGTGTGCGATTTGAGTTGTTCTATTGTAATTGGATTGACATAGCTTGGGTACAAGACTAGACCAAGTATTGTGGTAGTAAAATTAATTCAGGATTTCCTTTTCCAATGATTACTTTGCGTACTCACCCCTTCTTTGAAACCACCATATCTGTGTAGAGTGCCGTTCTTCAGGAACACTCTCAAGCCCCATGATCCTATGAACTTCTGGAAGTTCACCAGTTCTATCTCATTGGCTGGGATTTGTTCCACCTTGCCGGTCTTACTATTCTTGAACACTATATTTTGGTCTGTCATCTTTAGTCTCCCAGGAACCTAAAAAATCATATAATTACAATTAACAATATCAAAGTACAAGAAAACACGAATTGTTTGACAAATCTTACCATTGCGCCCTTGATTTCCGCCTGGACATCGTTGTATTCGAGAAACTCCATTTTGTTTGGTCACTAAATTACTATAATATGTAAAAAATATTATTTAAAGCTTTAAAATGTGGTCACAGTCGTCCACGCGCTAAACAGTGTATGAAAAAAACAGCGGCACGGCGAGCGAACTATCAAAGAAACAACACAATTGTCAAATTGTCATTTGTGACAGTAACAGTAAGCAAATCAGTCAATGTTGGAGTTACCAAGTAATTACATTTTTTACCCACAATCGAAGACTATTTACTAGCGACCCGCCCCGGCTTCGCACGGGTTCAATGTATGTATTATACATATAAACCTTCCTTAAGAATCACTCTATCTATTAAAAAAAACCACATCAAAATCCGTTGCGTAGTTTTAAAAATCTAAGCGTCCATAGGGACAAACAGACGACGGATAGCGACTTTGTTTTATACTATGTAGTGATGAAAACCGAAATTATTTTGTAGTTCTGTAAAGTGCGGACTAACTTTTAACTAATTTAATTTAACTTCAGTCTGTCAATTAATAATTATTGATACACTAGTTTAAAAGTTATTTTTTTCACTTCACTAATGGGTGTACCAGTTACAGTTTAGATGGGTGATTTTTCGGATACTCGAGTATTTAACAAAATAAGTGGATTACAATGTCAAGTATTTGCTTGGTATTTATCCAAAAATTACCTATCTCTACTTTTGACCTTTTTTTTCGTACTTTGTTTCTATCTTTGTAAACACTACCATTACGTCAACTTGACAAATTGTTTGTTCGTTCTCTAATGTGAATTTCATTCATATTCATAAATTCATTCATTTTTTGTGGGTGGACGGCAGACGTGTTGTTGTATGTTGATAAATTCGTAACTATTCTATTTACGTTATTGTTAAGTATAAATAACAATTTCAAAGATTAAATTTAGTGGTAAAAAAACAGTTAATATTTAAGGTAAAGTGCAGAATTGTGTAGGTGCAGTGATTTAAGAATAACTGGTTCGCCCTCATTTAAAAAATTAAATCGTGTCGTGTTTGGTCTAAGTACCACCGCTAGTTGCTATTTTTCGTAGGTGTGTTTTGCATGTGTGTACTCTATGGCGTCATTATCCTTGCCTCGAGTCCTCCAGCTGAAGAAGAACAGCTTGGATGCTGAGCGCGAACAGTTTGAGAAGTTTCAGGTATGTTTGTTAATTACTTTAAAACTAGTATTTTTGACCTTTCTGGAACTGTTGCATTTGTAGCAAAAGGGTCTATAATATCCATTCACATGTTTTCGATATCGTCAAATTTTTTATTCATAAAAAAAGTACTAACTATGGCATGACCAACTTTTAAACATTTTAATTCCATATGTAGGTACCTAATAATAACAGTTGATGAAGTTGAAACCTACATTGTACCTTCAAACATTTTTAACAACAGTTGGTACTTATTTAGAGTATATTGTCTAATACCTTAAATTTTCTTATTAGACTACTGTAGTTAATTATAAGGAGGGATCAAACTAGACCCAAACTGAAAATAGTCAATTCATTGCTATAAATAGTTAGGTACAGTGAAGACAAAGTGACTTGTTGTACTGTAAAATCAAGAGAAACATTAAACTGTCAAACACCAAGCGGTCACCGGTGACCGCAACCTATTGTTCTATAATTGTGTCGACAAAACCGGTACTCGACGAGTTAAATGTGAAACAAAAAGAGTCTTATTGCAATAGGACATAAACTTCTTTAAGTAATTAGAAGAAAAAAATGTGTACTTCCGACAATATGCTAATCTTCTATTAAGTATAATATGTAGAACTGGGAGTTATGAAAGTACCTCTGCTTACTGTCTTTCATAGTTATGTTGTCCATTATTTTTTATTTCATTCAGTCAGAGGTTTGCCTTGCTTTTCCGGGTTAAAAATGACACCATGTGTTTTTATTTATTTATTTGTTAAGGCAAAATAAAACAGCATATTATAAAATATATATAACTCAGCTTACACCTTATAGTTACTTGGCAAATATGTTACCCACTATGTTTTCCATACATTAGTTGTGTTTTAGTATTAGATCTAAAGTGACACATACTCAGGTACATTTTTCAAATAGAACAAACTAGGTAATTATTTATTTATTTTTGACCATGGTTGTCTCAATGCAGGGCAAAGGCCTCCCCTCCTTCCGCTCATCTCTTTTTAAAGCTTCCTGTGGCCAATCCTTTAATTCAATTCAATTCATAGGCTTCAAGTTCATCCCTAGGTAATAATTAAGTGTTATTTGAGACTATAATTTACCTATGTACATTTAAAAAAAATAAAAAAATAAATATGCTCAGTAGATTTTTATGAAACAGTAACTAACACATACCTACATACATCTATATCAATAATTCCATCACATGAAATGACATAGGTCATTTTTTATTACAAAAATATTATTGTATTTAAAGAAGTAATAGCTTTATTCAATTCCACAAAAATTAGATAACATCACTCAATTGCACTTTTTTATACTTAGTACTAGGTATAATATCTATTTAAATTTTATTATGTCCATTTAAAATGTTTGGGCATTTTTTTCCTAGGTACATAATTCTTCAAAGCAAAAATCCCAAAAGACTCATACTAGAATGTTGATTGCTGAGTGAGTGAAGAATTAATAATAATCAACACTCTTGTCTAAATAGTACTCAATTGATCTCAATCTATCTAGATTTTATATCCATCCACCATTTCATTCTACGGCGTCCTCTTCTACCGCCTGACGCAGGTCCTCACCGAACATTGAAGTTTCGGGAGGTACCTGTGTCTGATGGGGCGGGAGGAAACGCCCGGGTGTCATCACTGCGAGGGCCGCCCTGAGGACACGGGGGATCACACTGTAGCGGAATGCCCTGCGTGGGCTGAGCACCGCCGTGCCCTCAGGCGATGGCGACCTCTCGCGTCCGGGCCTAGTGCAGGTCATGATGTGGAGCGAAGGGGACTGTGATGCCGTCTCCTGCTTTTGCGAAGCAGTTATGCTAGCTAAGAAGGAGGCGTCCAGCCATCGCGAAGGACACACCGGGCGTCGGGGATCGCGGGACAATCACCGGCCACCGTAAGCGCGGGCCTGCGGACGGTGAGCATGGGTGGCTCGATGATTTTCCCCCCTTAAAAAAACCACCATTCCATTACACGGACCGCGGATATACGAAATTGGAGGGAAATTGTCAGTGGCGTTTAGTTGCGCCACTGTCGGGGATACACGACATTGCTGTCGCAAACTACCGGTTACGTCACCTCCTGTATACAAACACTGGCATAGCTTAGCATACGAATAAAACGCGAACAATTAGACTATCATATCACCGCATCTATCTCTTTGACTATTCCACATTGTAACATAACTAATCACCGGCATTCTTTGTATGCATCGAAGTTTCCGGATTTAACATGAATTGTCTTCTGCCTTCGCTTTGTTACGTAAACTATAGTAAACGATTGATATACTGCCATTCATTGTTGAGGTGCCGCATCTGAAACAGAATAAACAGATGATTGATGTATGGGATGTATCATGTAGGTATCTTTTACGCACGTTCAGCAGCAGCGCATGCATCCACACAGTTCATAATGGAAATAAACTTGAAGTGGAAATTATTCGTGTTTATTTTCGTCGACAATCGTTAGTCATCTGATTTTAGGTAAACAATTGAATGCGATATTAAATTCTATGCTCCAAAATAACTGCAATAGACAGTGCACTTGATTGTAACAGCATTGAAACATGTTACTACAGACTTCTCTAGTTTGATAATTCAAATTTCCATTGCTCAGTATTGCTATTGACTCCTATTGATAATCAATCTCCAATATCAACGTATAGTTGACCGAATTTTCCATGCCACTTCTGCCCACGTCGAGTTCACGAAGGCGTAATGTTATATTCTAATGTTGTTATATCAACTAACTACAATCTCGCAATTCATTCGAAACCGAGCTTGTGATAGTGAATTAGTGATACCTAGTATCCATAGCTCGCTATTGCAAAGTTTTTTTGTTATCAAACAGATAATGAACGCTATGAGGACCCGCGTCCGATAACTTATCAACGATACTTAGTCTGCTGACAACACTCATTTAGTTACAAATAGATTCCGCGGATTATACCCGTGCTACAGAGAAGTTTCTAGTTGAAATTTGTTTTAGTTGAAATCTGTTATCTCGTGTCCTCAAGTCGCTAGTTATTTTGGTAAGAGTTTTGCCTGCATTTCAATAAACACGATCTAATCCCGACGCTACGTGTCACGGTTGAACGAACTATATTTTGGAGATAAATATAGTTCTTTGTTTCGTGTTGCGAGCTCTGCTGAAGGACTGAATGTTGTTTTGTAATTAATATCTTGACTGTATTGGTTGGCTACTGTTTCTCTACAGAACATAATATCGACTCTTACCGGCTTACCAGCTACCACGTATTGTAGTTTCAAGGTATTAGTATAATTTTAGTTGTTATAATTACACGCAATGCAAGTTAGCTCAGTAAATATTGAAGTGTCAAGGACGTAAGTCCTAAGTACCTAGGTGCTGCTTGACTACTTACATTCCTTTGTGTATTTGATTTGGTGACCCCCACATACCATCACGCTCGTTTTTCTCAAGGATTGACAGGTTCTAGTACAATACAATTTTATTCAGTCTTTTAAATTTTTTCTTACAACTAAAAAATGGGAGGTCAGACTCTCAGACTGACTGTTGTTATGGATTTTACAGAGGTCATGCTAAATTTTATAAAGAATTTTGAAGTTCTAATATTCTATAGCTCATGACAATCCATCCTACGTCGTGATCAAGATCTGTAAACGCACCTACCTAGTTGAGTTCGTCAACGGCTCAATATTAAAAGTTGGGCTATTAAATATTTGGCTCCATTTCGGATATACAATATATGGGTCACCAAATGAACGACATTGTCCATTCTAGCATAAATCTTTCGCTTCGTCTACATTCAGGAATCTCTTCTCATGCTCTATTGTGGCTTGAGGGTGCTTTTGGTTTGTCTCTTTTTAAATAGGTACATCACTGTCGCTGCTGTCAATTTGGCTCTCAATCCTGATAATGTAGACTGTAGATACTACTTCATCATTACGGTTGTCCGGTAAAACGAGTCTGATTGTCCGCTTCCGCCCGTAGTATGTATGCTCCACATATTCGTTTGCACGATATGCGATGAATTTTTCACGTTTATATTATGT